TACCGACGATTACCAGTGATTACCAAGTCTGTGTACACCTGATTACCGCAGTTGGGCACCCCTCGGGTGGGGTGTAATTCTTTTCAAATACCCCCCCCCTCCTTAAACCATCCTCGGCCTCGTGTGTTTATCTACTTTTTATTTAACGCTCGCAGTGCAGGGATCGGCTGCTTTATTGCCTCTCTGAGCTTATCCGCGTGCTCTGGCCTTGCGGATCGGTTCCGGGACCCAAAGTATTACTATACTGTAGTGTCTGTGACCCAAATGTGTGCCACACATGACCAGCGCACTTCGCAGCTGGCTCGCCGGCCGACTGCTCGGGCTGGCCGCTCGCCACAAGGCGCCAGATGCGGGGTCGTGGAGGGGGGAGGGGTAATGATTCAGAAGGGCTAATAAGTATTAATAAGGGTGTCACCCAGGCGCGGTTTAAGGGGGGGGGTCGTCTCTAGTGACAATTTATGCCACAAAACCCCTGTAAGAAGGCAACCCACGGTGCACCCCCCACCGCACCCCCCGTCAGCCGGACCTGGTAGATATTTTGACTAAAATATCTTATTTTTAAACAGGGGCACGCAGGTCCAAACCTCAAACCTCCCTCTAAACGCCCTCTACAAACGGGGGCCCGCCCCTCACTCTCGTGGGTTCCGAGGAGTACTTCCGTCCCTCCTCGCTCTTGCTGCTTCCGAGAGCCGTGGCCGGGAGGCCGGCAGGGTCTTTAGCATCTGGGCCGGCGCGGCTCTGTCCAGGGCGGCCGGCGCGGCGCTCGTCTCGAGTACCGCACTAGGCTCGGGGCATTGTTCCTGGCGCCCCGCGGCCCCGCGGCGCCGCGGGCACGTGCATTTGCACGTTGTACGTGCCAACAGCCGTGCACGTGCAAAGTGGAACGCTCCGCCCGGACGGACGGCGGCGGAGGGTTGACTTAGTTTTTAAGTCACCGTTACGCAAATTGCAGAGCTCAGCGCTGGCTGCCACTCGCACCGGGCCGGGAGCAAGGGCGGCAGGATGCACCGCACCGGGCGCAACAGGGCCCGAGCAGCCCGCACCGCCCCGGGCTACAGGAGGGCCGAGGAAAGGCGTCCTCCTGCAACGCACAGCGGCCCTGCGCCGGGCCTGTAGAAAGGGCGCGCGAGGACACGGTGCTGTTCGAATGGGTGCTATCTCAGCTGCGTCCAGATACCTTGGTGTCTGTCTGGGGTGCCGTCCGCGGTAGCAGAACTGCATCAAGACTGCAATATATTTCCCAGCTAAATTGCGAATTTTCGGCGTATTAGAAGCCTTAGGCCCTTTATGCGCACTGTAGGCGCATTTTGAATTGGACATAAAATGCAGTCATGATGCAGTTTTGCTGATTTTGCTACCAGGGTTGGGTGCTTGCGTCTGCGACAATGAGAAAAAGAAAAATCGAGATTTGGACCAATCACCGCCATCATAGCGCACTATTTGTGCATACTGGCAGACGCAGACACCGAAGTCCCCAAGGCCCAAGGCACCCAAGGCACCCAAGACACCCAAGACACCCACTTATCTGGACGCAGAGCTCCCCTCTCACTCGCACCGACCGCTCGACCACCGTCCGCGCTTGCAGACCGCGACCGATCGGTGGGGGCGGACACAGTCTCGGCTCTCAGCCTACAGCTTCCATTCCGACCTCAACGAGTGCATCTCACACCTCGCCACACCTGGCGATTGCCCTAAATCAGGGGGCACGGATAACGACACCACTCAATGCGAGAGAGACAGAGACTCCAGAGACTGGTTGACCCACGAGAGTGAGAGAGCGCGAATGACAACAAAAGTGGCCCCCGAGCCGTCTAGGCGGGACCCCCAACCATTGCTGCTTGACATTACAAAAATTATCCGATATGCTTTGTCCAAGAAGCCGGTTACTCGAAAACAGCATAGCAGCATAGACTAGCCAAGGACTAACCCTATCACACCTCATGTCCCGCCCCTTCTCCATCAAAAATTAAAAATTAATATCGAAATATTTGTTGACATTGAATAATGCAAAATTAACTGTTCCTGAGGAAGGACAAAACGCTCGAGGAAAAAAAATAACGCATGACTTACCAGTTAGCCGCGGCCATATGTTCGTTCTGTTCACGTCCATAACGTACGTAAGTTCGGAGACAGACGGACTTGGACTTGCTGCATCGGATGAGAATCGGATACAGAATCGAAAAGTGTCATACTGCGTCCTGCATGTCAGTTTTAAGGGTATGAAAAGAAAAGACTGCGCTCCGACACAGAACGCAATTTTAGCATTTGATTGTATTCCAATGGGGGTTAAAATTCAGTTCTTTTTAAAACTCTCACTTTTTCAAGTTTAATGTGCACATTGAGTCTTCAGGAAAAGAATCAGGATACTGTCATCTGCCATGAAACTGTTGCTACTTCTCAACTGACCCTGAATTTGTCATCATAGGCTGTCTGCTGTGAAAACTCTTTTTAATGTCATAACAGAAAAAGTGGAAAAATGATTTGGGAACTTCTGAAAGACTTCAGATAATATCAGAATTTTATTAACTTAAGCTTAAGTGAATCCGCTTTGGTTGGATCTTACATAAAGTAAGTAGTTAATTCCTGTTGTTGTTTTTCTTAATCATCTTATACATGCCCTAACCTAACAGTTTGACATCCATTTGTTTTGATTTTTTCACGACACCATTTTTACCTTTCTATTATGTTTTTATGGCACTTTTCTCCTGATTTCTCTTTGTTAACAGAGTTTTAGTCATGGTGGAAAACTTTCCATCGAAACACAGCTCAATTGTTCTTTCAACATGGTACATCTGTACATCCTTTGTTTCAGATAATTCATGTCTCAACATCATGGACCTTGTTTTGATGTTTTTATGCATGCTTATTGGAGCAGTTGCAGTTCTTGCAGCAGAATGGTACCTTTTTCAAAAATTTCTGCTCAGCCAACCTGAAGTAGGACCTCCAAAACAGCCATTTGGCATTTCTACTCCGTTTTGTTTGCCCAAGGTGTGTACTAGACATAAAATTATAAGCTCTTCTAGTGCAATATCTTCACTGTTTTCTAAAGTTGTAAGTATATTTTGCAGCATATTTTGGATGCTCTGAGAAATCGTAACCTGTCAAAGCAGGAGTCATGCCTTGGTGTCAGCCTACTTCTTCAATTTTTGTTCCAAGAAATGCGACATACAGATAAAGTTCGAAAATGGTTTCACCGCAAACTCTCTCTTGAGTTTGAAGAATTACTTACCCGCACCACAACTGGGAAATTGTTTGATTCCATAGCTGTATGTAATTTTGCCTACAATCCTCATTCATTGATATTAATTCACTTTTAACTACGTGCTTATTGTCTATCTTTTTAGGTTCGCGACTTGCATTTAGGCTCACATTTCCCAACAATCAGAAATGTTGAAGTACGCCAAGTGGCCCAGGATCCCATTCATCACCGGATTGACACTTTGGAATTATGCTTAGACATACATTACAGTGGATCCTTCCAACTATCTTTAGATGCAAATCTTGTTTTGGGTCGTGCTGCATATTTGTCAGTTACAGGTCAGTAAATCTGTAAATCTGTTTTTTAATTTTTTGAATCAAGAATTCCCTCAAAACTTAACCTGAATTTCTATGCTATCAGTTCATGAGCTAGTGGGTATGGCTCGCCTGCAGTTCACTCGACACCCTTATACCCACTGGTCGTTCAGTTTTTACTCAGAACCAGTTCTTCAGCTGGAGGTTGAAAGTCAATTTCAGGGTCGCCCGCTTCCTCAAATCACCAACATAATTGCTAATCAGGCTAGTGGAAATAGTACCAGTCTACTTGAACTGTTTTACAATTTACATTATCCATTATCATTTTCCTTATTTTGGTTCTATAGATACGAAAATCTCTGAAAAGGAAGCATACATTGCCCAACTACAAACTGCGCTACAAACCATTTTTTGCAAAATCAGAACCAAATGATGAAGAGGCTGAATGGGGTCAACACTCAATACAATCTGGCTGTCTTGAGGTTACTATTGTTGAGGTTACAAGACTGGCAGCTACTATAGGCAATGGAAGTGAAAACATTTACTGCTCACTAGCAGTTGGTTAGTTTTGATCCCAAAAAAATATTTTAACTTGAATGCAATCCTTTTTGTTTCTCATTCTAATGGCTCATTGTTGGTTTTCAGATCGTACTGCATGGGTGGAGATGGTTCATTCTGATACAGCCACGTATATGACCCTGGATGTTAGTATAGTTAAATCACCACAACAACAGTTAGGCATTGTTTTCAGACAAGAGTTTGTTGCAGACCGTTATCAGGTTTGTGTCCAATACTCATACATTACTTACCGTTAAATGTCATTAATCTAAAATCAGAACATTATATCTCCTTTTCCCTAACGTTCCTTTCAGGCTTGTGTCATAGTTGATACTGTTCTACCTGGTTCACCTGCCAGCAATTCTGATGTGCAGCCTGGTGATCTTCTGATAGCAGTTGAAGGAAAGAAAATATCAACAATAGCACAGGCTGCCAAGTGTATGAAAGGAGCTGGGGATAAATACACGCTGAGACTTGAGAGAAGGGTTGCATTTAACAGCTCAGCTTCAAATTCAGTAATTATCTTTCACAAATAAGTTTTCCAAAGCAGATTGTTTTATAATTATAGTTGATGTGCTTACGTTCTTTCTTTTTATGCTTTTTTAGGCTTCTGAGACTGAATCAACCGCGATAAGATCTAATGTGACAGTGTCTGTCACAAGTGACTCCCCTACGTTAGGACAATCAGAATTACGGAAAAGAAGGGTCTCTGTGGAGCAGAGTGATGGTATTGATAGTGACAGCAGCACTTCCAGTCCTCCGAATTCTGCCCAAAGTGAGCATAAATGAAACCAAAAATGTATCAAAGTGTGTTCTTGAATGTAGTATTGGGGTCTAAACATTTTGTCCATTCTAGGCTCTCCTGCTAAGAAACCTTCTTCTATATTTCCCGGTCCTAGTACCTCTTCATCTACTCCAGGCTCTACTCCTGGTTCTGCAGGAGGTTCAATTTCTCCAAGCCCAGATCATCGCAGCAAACAACAGCAGTCTCAAAGTGACCAGAATAATTTACAGATTCTCAATACAAAAGAGATAATTCTTGATCAGGTGTGACATTCCTTTAATATCAATAATCCATAATTTCCTTCCTAAAATACAGAAATGATTTTTTTTAAATCCATGTGTTAATGCATTTATTTCTACAGGTTATTGATTTCAATGAAACTCTCAAATTTGTGGTGGGGCCCCAGCATCGCTACCTTAATGTCAGTGTTTGGAGCGCCAGATCTGGTCCTGGTGGTCGTGATCAGTTGTTGGGTCATGTGAGTGTGTTGCTAGCTGCTGTTGCTAACCATTGCAGCCGCTCTCGACTTGGACACTTCGTAAGCTCATATTCCTTTCTACCACCAGACCCTCATCTTGCAAACAGGTAACAATTCCAATGAAGGATCCTACACTTTGATTGTCTTTTTGAGAAGTCCTGTATTGCAGTATATTCATTTTAGAATTTAACTCTTTGCAGCCAAAGTCATAAGCTCTCTAATCATTCAGGCTTTGAGCCATGCCTTTGCTATGGAGATGTGCTACTTTCATTTGTGTACCTAACACCCAGTGGGTCTCCATCTCCACCACCTGCTCCTTCAGGCAGTCCAGCTCACCAATCACCTGAAGCTGCCATGAGCTCAGTGAGGATGGATATCATGCAAGATTCATCAGTTTTTAAAAGTCATGATTTTATTCGTACCCAGTTTCATCGTGCCATTCAATGTGGATTTTGTTTTAAGAAGGTATGAGCAAGGCTACTTGTAACAACTGGAAACCTTCTCTCAATTGTTAATTTAATTACTGACCTCTATTTTTATCTATCTATTTCTTTGCATTATTAAGATATGGTTGAAAGATGCTGTTCAGTGTCGAGTCTGTGGGATGTCATGCCACAAAAAATGTGTCAACAAGTGTCTTGTCAGTTCCTCGTGTGGAAGCACCAATGGCAAATCCACTGGTAGCAACACAACATTATCCTCAGGAAAGGGCCACAGGCACTCCTTAGGAGATGCTGATGTGACAGGGGCATTTATTGAACAGAGAGGATCTTCTCAAGGACCCAGCCCTGAAGGTGAAGGTGGAGACCAGCCAAGGCGAGCAAGTATACAACCAGAAATTGTCATGACGTCTGCTGAAGAAGTGGCCAGCGTACCAACTCAGGTTGGAATACTATACTTTTTAATTAAGTGGGATGTTATGATCTTAAGAGTTAATTTTTCTCTAAATTTTTTTGCTTTATACAATTATTTTCTTTGTTCAGGGTCCGAGTCACCGGAAACGTATAACTAATCTCTTGGCTTCTATGGCAACTCAAGCTCGTGGTCTGAAGAGGGTTGGATCGGCTCATAATCTGGCACCTCCTGGTTCAGATGGTTCCCAAGGTGGTAACAACCTTTCTCGTAGCCTACCACCATCTCCTCAGCACTCGCCTGCACCGTCACGCAAGGTTGTGTCTGTCACTCATGAAGTGTTTTCTGTAAGATTTGGATTGGTTTAGTATGCTAATGATGGACTAATTTTTTGTTTCAGACCTCTTTACATGAAACAGTTTTTCAGTTTAGTGAAATGGACAGTGGTTCAGATGAGGATGCCAGTGCAGATGAGGATGTGTCTGTTGCACTGGAACAGCTCCTCCAGTTAAGGCGCCCCAGTGCTTCTGGAAGTTCCGGAGGTGCCGCCAGTGGCGCTGGAGATGACGGCTCTGAAGACCTAATGGCTGTTGCCAAGGCCACTGGTAAAGAATTGTACTCTGGTCTACCCCCATTGCAGCGGATAGAGCGCATTAACAAAATGGTCAGATTTGTAACTTCTTATCCTTCCGAGGACACACCTCTAGTAGTGTTAGTGTGTTTGTTGTAATAATTTGTGTGCTTATCTCTAAGCAGATATCAAAACTTAAAATATCTATGGATAGTGAGTCCAGTCTAAGAATGCAGTTGGCACGTAAAGAAGTTGACTGTCAAGACTCCACTGAAAAAGCAAGACTTGCCTTTCTTATTGGAAAATGCGACGAAAAAGTACAAGCTTTGGCAATATTAATGCTGCACTTTTGTGCAGGCCTTCAGCACACACAAGATCAAGAGGAACAATTACAGGTAACTTTTAAAATATTCTAAAAAATTAAAAAGACAGTTTCTTTGATGCCATGTGGTATGTCTCTTTTGTTTTGGTAGTGTTAGAGTAACAAACAGTATACTGTTTGCAAACAAGAATTTCATTATACATTACAACTATTACCGTTTTTTTCCCACTCAAAGTAGATTTTTATGATTGAATTTTGGGAACACATTTTGTTTACAAGGTAGAGGGTATTTATATTTTCAGAATTCTCCCCTACGTCCATGGAAGTGGAATTTTCATCTGAAGAAACGACGAGTGTCCTTACGCAAACAGCTGTTGTAATGTGGCTTTGCTGCTGCCATCTTTTTTAATGGGTTGGTGGAATAAGTGTGTCATGTAGAAGTATTTCTCGATCCCTTTCCAGACCACTGTGTGTGTCCATTGTTGCTTTTTGAGATGAGAACCATATCTTTTTGCATGATATTCAAAGTGAAGTTTTAAAATTCTGAAGTATGTAAATTAAAACTCTTCTATTAGCTATCTCAATGACCACAGGTTCAATCGCAGGTTGTCCCGCAAACTATATCTTGGTTGCCCTGCATAGTTCTCCAGCTTTGAATGTACCTCAAGTTTAGAGTGTTTGTGCTACCCACAGTTCGCACACTCCCTGCCGACAGCTGTGAACTATCCTTCCCACCTTCGACACAAAATTACCCTCACCTGTACCAGTTTACTTTTTATTTGCAAGCCTCTTCCAACATGTACTGAATTTGACAGGCTTCATACTTTTGGTACTGTTTATCTACCTCATCGATATCATTATAAACTCATTACTCTTTATTTACGTTTGTTTCAGAGAAAAGGTGGGGACTAAACTGAGTTGCGCCTTTGTGGACGTGCTGTGTGATGCAGAAGATGAAAGGTTAATGTTTTGTGCAATTCAATGTTCTCATAAAACTCTTTCAGAAGCTATTTGTTATATGATAATATTCCTTAATATTCTTGGAGGACAAACATGTTCTTTTATGGGTATTTTGTAATACAATTTTAGTATTTTCAACCCATGCTCTGGACTGTGCAATTAGACTTTTGATCGATTGATTTGTGATAATTCCAGTTCCAATATAAAATGTGTTTGTAATGCTTCAAATGCTTGAAAATTCTATTATCTTTTAGAAGTTCTCAGCTAGTCTTTGGTTTGCCCTAGGTATGCATCATGTCAATATGGATTTATCCTACTTTATTTTTGGCTCATTACTCCTGGCAAATGAGAAAGCGAACCCCAAACTCACTAAATGTATTATTGTCTTTAAATGTAACTCATCAGTAAACCTCTTCCTTGTCTTTTGAAAATGTCAATTAACTTGTATACCATTCAAGTAAACCTTGACTAGAAAAATTATTGGAACTTTAAGTATTGAACCCTCCTAGTATATTGTAAATAAGTTGTGCTTGCCAATTGAAATTGTTGTGCCATTTTTATTTTTTGGCATCACTTTGCACCAAAAATGATTCACCTAGAATAGCCTACATGGTTACATTTATTTCTAATAGTGTCAAACTAATGTTTCATTGATTGATGTGGAAGTAGGTACATTTAAGACTAGCTAAGCTCTCTGTTTCTTGACTAACCACCTGTAATGGTCTTTTCTTTGCCTGGAAGACTTGCCAATTCATTCTAGGTAGTGAAAGATTTCACCTGTTTTAAGCAGTATTGCTAATCTGTATTTTGCTAGGTGTTCATCATTGACCTTGATTGTTTGTTCAAATAGGTGTAGACCTTTTTGCCAAGGCTGTTTGTATTATTGTTGCTGTTCCAGGTATTATCTTTCTTAGATCAGTATTAGAGATGATTACATTCCTGACTTGAATTAGTTCAAGCTGATGCTTCAATTGTTGATTTTAGTCTGTGATTTTGAGCCTCTGCTTTTTGAACAGAGACCTGACAAGTTTTATTCCTCCTATAACCCCTGTCTTTTAGCTTGATTTTTTGTTTGTTTTGTTTTGTGTTTAGATCATTATATTTATTGATGAAAAAGTAGAAGTTGTGATGGTGTTGAAATGTTTGCCTATTTGCAGCTAAACGATTTACACACTTTAGTTTTTTGTGTTGTTTTTATTGTGTGCTATTTATGATGATAGTAGTAAAATATGTCAACTGTGATACATGTAGGCTATCCTGAAAAACTGAGTGAACATGTTAGCCTTATCTCCACTTCATATTTGCTGAAATGATTTTGTATCTATTTGTTTATTTTTGTTTAATGTTGAAGCCAGAAATTTCACGGTACTGTATTTCTGTGATATATATTTTGGAAAAACATTTCCTCAACAAATTGACATTAAATCAATCACACTTGTACTGCTGAGTTAAAAGTTTAAAAATATAATTTAATTTTTGTTTGAGGGAATAATTTTGCCGAGATATATGATGATACCTTAGTTTAATTTGTACCCTTGTACTGATTGTGATAACATTCCATGCTCCATTATATTTGTTATTGAGAAAAACCTGGCCAAATTTCCTATTAATTTAGTTCTCTTATTTGCATGCAAATATAACTTGTCTTGTAACTTCTTGTAACATTGGCTGCAGAAAACTTGGCTGCATACATCACTAGTTTGCAGGACTGTTGTTACATCATTTTTGTTTGATTCACCATGTGGATCAATCATTCCACCATTTGGTAAACAACAACGAGCCACACCACAATTTTTGGATGAAAATTCACCAACCGGGGTTCTGACACGTTTTTGGTAGCTTGTCATTTCATTTAGGTATGAAACAACTTTGCTATATTTTGGGCATGGTAATAAATTTGTAATGTTGTCAATTTTAGCAACCATTTGTTTGGTAAAAAACAGACAAGTTAGATTTTTGTAGATTTTTCACTCACCATGTATGCTAAGAAAATTCATGTGGAAGTCAATTCTCACACTGTAGACTGTGTTTTTAAATCAGTGAACACCAAAGAATGTTGTGAGTCCCGACTCAACCGCATACTATCACAAACGATTGGCTGAGAAACCCTAGTGCCTGCCATTTTGTTATTTGTTAAATTTTGCACTGCTGATGTGTCATGTGAAATTGCTAAAATATAAATACACTTGACTGAGAAAAAAAATTGCAAACATATGTTTTTATTTCTGAGATCTATGACCAGAAACACAAAAATCATCTCTAACAATCACAGTTGAAAATAAATTAGATATAAATTAGTTAATGAGAAAAGTGTTTTGGGGTGGGTCATGAGAACTTTATGGTCCATCCATGGGCTCCGAGTTCTTTGGGAACAGCTGATCGTAAGGCACGCTTCTGAACACGTCGTTCGCCAAGGCCGTTAGGTGTTCGGCAATGTTTTCGTTTATGATGGGCTTCCCTAGATCCACCACTTCTGACCACAGGCGGTTTACCATCAGCACCACCACGTCATCTGGAACATAGCCGATATGGTACTTTTAGGGCAAGGTACTATAAGTCCATCTACTTTTAGGCAAGCAGAATGCGGTCGTGTTAATAATAAAAGAACAGGCAGCCCGGACCAAAAGGTACTTCACTAAAAGAAAGCACAGTGCAACCACCCCCCTCCCCC